TATTCTTGTCTCAGAGCCAAATAGAAATTTAATGTCATTGTTATGTTTAGGTGAACATCACGCTCTTATATTCTCCTCTGTTTGGCCTTGAATAAAAATCAGAGCAACAATAATATAAATGCTATGAAAGTAGTCATGAACAGTAGCCCATCTGTACTGGACAGAATTCTACAAATCAATTAGATGGTCATAAAAAGCTAATCAGATGTGGATGAATTAACTGTGGAAATAAAATGGATTGAACTCTTATGTTTATTGTTCATGTATAACCCTTTTTAATAATCAAGATGGGTAAATTACACTAATTAACCTTTAAAATTTAGATGATTTCTAAATAATACCTTCAAACAATGCCTATTCTTTTCATTGTTATTTTTAAGTGTTTTGTCCATGACAAGGCAGTTCCATTAGATCTGCAGAAGTAGTTGTTTTAAGTTGTGCTTTCCCTTTTCCTGTTTAGAAAATCGTTAGATTTTCTACAGTATGTTCTCCCACCTCTCCCCCATCAGATAGCATTAAAGTCAGAAGTTAAATTCATATATCCTAGGAAGAAATATCAAGAAAACTTAGCTCCTGGAGACCCGTTGAGTTGGGTCTCACTGCTCTTGTGGGATAGATTATCTGAGATGTCATCAAACCCTCTTCCTAATCACAGACAGGAGCAACTTACCTGGGCTGGTGCAATGCTGGCAGCAAAGGCAGTGTGCAGCCCAGCCCCTCTGGACAGGTTGCCTGGATCCTTAGGAACCCGCAGGGCTGGGGACAGTTCAGCCACTTTCTGCCATGCTTTGAGGGAGCCAGCAATTGTCAGAGGGTTATGTGGGTTCCTGTGAGCGTGGCTGAAGGCAGAGCTACAACTACAGAAGCCTGGGGCATTTGAGAACTCTTCAACAGGAAGGGTTTTGGGAAACACCTGCTTTTATGGGGCAACGGAAAGGTATCTGTAAGGGAATCTTTCCAGAGACTTTTTATTGCCCCTTCAAAGCCTTCTTCTCCTCAATGAAAGCCTAGAGAGATGACTACTGCTACAGCATCTGCTATTGTAGAAAATGCATTGTTTATTCTCACCAGTGCAAATGATTTGTAAACTGATCAATCAAAAATTTACTTTTATTCAGTATTTTGACTGCTCACCCTTCAAAAGATTAATTTTCAGCATTCCAGGGTTAAAATTTCTCAGTATTGTTGTAAGGTCTTAATTAAAACAAGAGATAAATTGTGATGTATTAAATAAATAAATAAATAATCCAGGACTGATCACAATACATTGGATAGAATGGTGAATGGTTTGAGTTTTCTAAATTACTGATATTACCTGCTGATATGAGGGCTGTTCAAAAGGGCACTTCACTTTTGGGTTTATTTATTAAAATCCTGCACTCAACTGTAAGAAATTAGCCTCCTAGAGATGAATCGTTCCCTACTCAGAGGAGCCTGAGGCAAGGAAACAGATCCTGCACACACTGCAGAACTGCACAGCAACATGAGCTCCAATATTTTACTACATCTCTTGCACAAGGTGCTAAACAGCAATGTGAGACAAATGTTCTTGCTGTAATAGTGATGGTCTTATACATTTTTCCTCAAGTAATTAATGCTAAATTTACAGTGTTGTACAATTATCCTTTTTGTCTTGTAACTGGAAGCCCTTAATAACTGAGGTGCAGTGTGAAACAGGCTGTTGGACTCTGACAAGACCTGGAAAGATCAATAGATCATCTTTCAGGTAAGAATAAATAAGGAGACAGAATTTGATATGTGAATTTTATCTACTGAAGCTGGGATAAAAGTCTGAGTTCTCGCACTGGAAACAAAGCTATCCTTTCAGTTCTTGGTTGGCTACAGGGATATTTAGCATTTCCTTCAATGCCAGTCAAAGTATGCTCCTTGCAAACACCAGGGCAGCAGAGACACAGCTCAGACAAGTTCCTTGGCAAGCTGGAATGCTTTGCAATCTCTCTCCAGCAGGACATACATATAATGGTCATTCTCACTTTTCCAGTGAGTTTACAGCACAGTAAGGTTGCAGTTTTTGATAATGTGCAATATCTGTACACTAGAACAATGCTAACCCTGTTCTGGGTAAGTTAATTAAACAATGCAATTCCTAATTATCTGGTATTTTCATTTTCATTTCAATTTTAATTGGACATATGAGGGAAAAGTTCACAGAATTTCATCTGAACCTTGTGATATATCATCCTGCAATTGGTTGCAGTTATGTTCAGTGCAAGATTTCCCAAATGGGAACACCTTCTATACAGAATTAATATTGTGTAATACAAATATGGATTGTAACAGGGAAGAATGATAAAAGAAACAGGAGAACCCACCTGATTAACATGTGGCTTAAAGGCTAGCATACTATGAGAAGGAAATCTGAAAGGTACAGGAGCAGCCTGTCCCTATGTGCTCACAGGCAAGCCAGCAGGGGAGACTACCACACTGGCTGAAAAGGGAGCTTTTGCTAGAACTTAGGGGAAAAACAGGAGTTTATACCCTTTGGAAAAAGGGGCAGACAACTCAGGAAGAGTACAAGGATGCCATTAAGTCTTTTCAGTGAAAACTGGAAAGGCAAAAGCTCACATTTATCATTCTTCCCTGTTAGTAAAGGGATTGAGGGAAACACCACCGGTGCTCCTATCCCTTCAATCAGTTATCTTGGCATCCTGAAGTCCTTTTAAACTGCCCTAGAACTTCTCTCTTCTGCCTCATCACTGACAACCCAGTCAATCAGAAGTGGGTAATAATCAGATGTCACTCATCTCCTAGTAACATCTCTTACCTGAACCCCAGGGAGGCAGCAGACTTTGGGATGGATCCAGACAGCACACAGGGCCCTGTTTCCCTAAGAAGGAAATCACTACAACAATTACCATTCTTTCTTTCTTAAAACCCATGGATGTAATGTGTCTGGTTGACTGACTTGCTCTGGGCGAGCCCCTGGGTAGACCTTCTCCTTCACTATCATTTGCTTATCAAGTTCCAGAATCTCATACCAATTCCACAAGTACACCTGAGATGGCAAGAGAGGCTGGCAGGGCATTCTCCTGCCTTCCAAACAGGGACCTGTTTCCAATCCCTCCCATCTTTTAGGTCCCCTCCTTCTGCCTGATGGCAAGAGGCTCAGGTTTCCTCTGATTCTTGCTAAGCTTCCATCTGCTGCATTTCTCTCAGGGATGGAAGGGTGTGAGTGCACCAGTATATTTCTCTGAAGTTTGCCTGTGAAAGAATGCAAGTGCTTTTGTGGAGACATCTCTACTTGTCTGCATCACGGCAGGAACGTCTATTGTACAACAACAGGCATTCTCCCTGCCTGTCAATCCAAAGCTCTTTAATTTGCAAGTAATTTGAGAAACTTCTTCTGGTTTTCTTGTAAGATGATATCTCAGTCCATGAACAAATCCAGTGCCATTAAAATAATTAACATAAAGCAGATTCTTCATTGATTTAGGCTCACAAGCAAGTGTGCTGTTTATTTAAAGTCTGTCTCACCTTCAACATGTGGACATTTGAGAGGCTTTGTCAGCATCAGTACCCACCCCCTACTCTCAAGTCAGTAGCCTACATGTTGAGACACATCAACAGGATAGTAAGTACTTCCTCTGCTTTTGTTTAATCTTTGGTTACCTCTCAGACTACAGTACTGCAGCTGCACTTATCAGCAAGCACTGGAGTGTTTCAGATGCAGAGGAAGAACAAGAGAATGTGTAGTTCTGGAAAAAGTTCTGGTGTAAGAAGTCAAACCTGCATCCACTTTATTATGGGGCTGTGGTGAGAGCTCATCTTTCTGCAGAAACAGTCCTGATAGTGGAAGTTCGTCACAGAAGGTAAAACCCAAGGAGACAAAAAGCAAGGAAAGATAAACTGGTAAGACCAGTAGCACTGAACCACAGAAAAGCATCCTGTTCCTCTACGCCTCTTCACATAAAGTCATACACGCAGAGGAAGGGAAGCTTCCAACAGCTTGGCAGACCTCTGCCAAGGACATTTAACATTCAGCTCAAAGCAATTCCCCCTGAATTTTTGCAGTACGGGCACATTGGCATTAAGCATTCCAGAAAGTAAGAACTCGAAACCAAAGAATGGCAGAGACTAGGAACAAAGCAAGATGAATGCCACATAACATTTATCAAGTTTGTCTGTCACATGTACTTGATAATTATATAGGGTTAATAAATTACCATCAGACTACATCTGCTGCTGCTCCCTCAGCTATTCATGATGCCACCATGTGCTACCAGTACTTGTATTATGATGCACATGAGTGGAGGCTGCTTTATAAAAGCAACATGCCTTTGGCCATTCCTCCTGGCCCTGTAACCACCTCCTACCACTCTTTCAAGTACAGTTTGAAGTGTGTGGTGTAGCAACTATACATTGTACTCATTGGAGCTATGGCTCCTGGGCCAGAGGACCAAAAAAGAAGTAAAGCTTATCCACCTGAAGTAAGAAACTTGCAGCTTACTGTGCTACTTCACCAAAACATCCCTCATAAAACATCCTGTTAGGATGTTCAACAATGGCAATGCTTCATAACAAAAGTTCTCTGTAGGTTACTGTACTGATATGTAATGCACACAACTATCTTCAACTGCAACACTACCTCTTCATATCCACTGCTCTGAGGCACTCAGATCTCTTCCTGGAAGGACAAGCAGCACCTTAGAAGTTACCATCATACTGCCATCCTTCCTGGAGCCAGGACAAGAGCTCAAGCAGCCTTCTCTCCCATCTCTGCTGGTTCATCTCCAGAGAAACATTAGCTAGAGTTGCTACAACAAATGTTATTCTGGATAAAGTGACGAGGTCACAGGAAACACCTACTATTCTTCAAAGGCTGTGTCAAGTCAGTACTGTTCACAACACTTGTCAGAGAGACTAATACAGGGACATCAGCAATATGACTGCTCTAAGCAGAGCAGTTTACATGAAACTCTCTCAGTAACAGCTACTTAAGTTTCTTCTAAACTGAAATAATGACAGACAGTAAACAGAACTTATATAAATAGAAAATGGTTTATTAAAAACAAACAAAACCAAACAAAAAGTCACAACACAATCTCACTTCACTGTCTGGCCAAAGGTCAGATTTGAAGCTTACATCCATGCTTCAGTCATGTAAGCATGCATACAGAAGGGAAGTTGATGCCTTGCTGGCATGCTCCTCTAAATCTCCTCTAGGATGATTGTTAGAATACATTATTTGTGAACACGTTATGAAACTTAAATTCCCAAAAGACACTGAAAAAGTGAAGAACAGTTGTTTTATTTACACCTACAGGGTTTCCATAAACACCTGTCACACAAATACAATTTGCTGCATTTCTAATAGCTGTGAAAACAGTGACAAATACAGAAAAAACGCCACAAGTAAGCATGCATTCTGCAAGATTTAGGTAATTATTTTTTCCCAAAGTCAGTGTATTTGTGAGGAAGTATTTAATTGAATTTCACAAGTCTGTGCAAACTACTTACATGACCAGTATCCAAAAGATAGTCCTTTTGAATACTTAGTCACCAAGAATAACACGTGAGATGAAGCTTTTGTGTGCAGGTTAAGACATTTCACATACAAACAATGCTGCAGTCCTCCTTTATAACAGAAGGGAACGGATTATTAGAATGACATTCCTGAAACAGTCTTCATTTTAAAGTAACTATTTCATTAATAAGGCTGCTTTTAAACAAGTTACTCTGAAAGAAAGCTTTCAAGATCATCCAAAGGGAGCTTATATGCATGCTTTGTCTTCATTGCTAGTCATTTCTGATGAACACTGCTCAGGTCTATGGTTTAGGCATGTGTAAATCATGTTGAGGATTCTGAAAACACTTTTATCGAAGAAGCTGCTCAGCCTCCTTGAACTTGCTTTCTTTTGTTTTCCTCAGTAATGCCTGTTTTATAGCATTGATCTTTTCATCAAGTTCAGCCAGTGAATAGCTCTGCTAAAAGAACAAAATAAAAATCACAATCATTTACATCTTGTAATTGCTAGAGAAGTGGTTTATCACTTGATACTTGAGGTCACTGCATATTGTACTAAGTGATAGAACTACTTCTGCAGAATTGTCTGAATCTAGTCTTTGCCTTTTTACATTTAAAGGAAAAAGAATGTAAACTTGCAAGAAAGTCAGTCCTAATCATGGATCAATACATTCGTGCTACTTTTATTAGATGCTTGTTTAGTCTGCTCATAAAAAATCCTAAGAAATCCCTTCATGTTAAAACACTGGATGAGACTACTTAAAACCCAAGTTTTGCAGAACTGGGTTTACAGCTAAAGGGATTTTTTTGCTACTGCCCAGCATCAAGCTCCTATGTGCCATGTAACCTGATAATTTTTTTATGTTTTCTTACAAAAGCTGGTCATCATCCTTTTTATGAAAATACTTCACCCTATGCAGGACTTTTTTTTTCCTGAACAAGCCTACTTTCTCAAGTCTCAGATGGCCATATCCCATTCTTCCCAGTCCATTTGTCTCCAAGGCTGATAGCAAGGAGCAGACAAAGTTCCAGCCATGGTCCCACCTGCACCAATAACTTCTCTCTTGTGGCCTAACAGGCACATGGTAAATGTATTCCCTTACGTGATGGTGTTGTGAAAATGGCAAGTCTTACTGACAGGTTAATATCAGCTATAATGTTGGGCCCTTCTTCAGTACTTTTGCCAAGCCAGCCATTTCAACTTTTGTCTTTTCATAATCCAATAAAGCAAATTGAAAAATAATTTTTAAATCAGCAAAAACCACTATGCAACAAAACAAAAATGGAAGACATTAATAGAGGGCTGATTAGAATACAGAAATTGCCTGTTACTCTCAGCTTGATTAACAGCATTGTAGATTTGTTTTATTCAATCATCCTCCTAACTGGTGAAAACCCTAGCATGTATTCTTAGAAAACTCATCTCTCATTCTAACATCCATTACCTTTTGCCTCCTTCCTTCTCTCTTTGACAGCAAGCTATTCAATACTGATGGAGCTACTTCTGAGAACTTACATACTTGCTTCACAGAACTCCTGCTTACTTTCCACTCAAAACATTCTAAACTTAAGAAAAACAAGAGTTAATAGCACTTACATGGGGAGATTGAACCTTTCTCCTCTTGCCAGAACAGCTCTGAAGAAAAGACAATCAAAACAGACTTAATGTTGCACTGACAGAAGACCACAAATAATTCTGTAACAATACTGTTAAGAGTCTTTAAAGTATAAAAAACACCCACTGACAGCCATTCCATGGATTAAAGAAACATTTTTTTATAATTAAGTACTTTGGATCATGAGAAATACTACTGGAGAGCAGTCAGAAGCTGTTGAAGCTTCTCCACACTTGGCAGTCAACAACTATCAATTTAACTGAAGCTTCCTTCAGACAGAATTGAGCTTTTGAAACTGTCAATATTTTCGTCCCTAAAATTTGCCTATATCCACACCAATATTTATGCAAAACTTCAGCTAAAATGTGCTAATTACTGTGCAACACTACTATTGCCACCATCACAATTTTTTCCTTCATCCCCATTCTAGAGATCCTAAAGCATTTTCAATAGAAATCTGAGCTTGTGAAAGTGTATGTTTTAACTTCTGGTTTTCAGCCACTTGAAGGAATAGCCTCACAAATTTAAAGAAAAGAACTTTACTGGTCTCCAACACAAATTTTAAAAATTAAACAAAAATGTGTACTATTGCTATTGATTTTTATTAACCGACTCTTCTTTGGCTAGTCTCAAGGGAGAAGATATAAATTAAATTGCAATCGACAATAAAAGAGACATTTTTACTGTTACATGGGGAAAGAAGAGCAAGAGAACAGACAAGAAATTTCTGCAGTCAAACAGAGCCTAATGTAGTAACAACTAATGTTCTCTTTGTCCTAATACCCTTCGGTGAGTGAAGGTTAAGATGTACTATTCAGAGAGGGACAGAGCTGTGCCTGAAAACCAAAAGTAAAGAAAACTAAGTCACAGAATCACATGAAGCAATTTTCAAACAGTTTACTCTCTCATCCTTTTGGAAGTTATTCACATATCGTTAGCAATCAGATCATGTACTGAAGCCCAAATTATTTCAGCTGTTTCAAGCCATTAATGATTTGTATCAAAAATCAAAACTTCAGTCAATTTTCTTGACATAAGAAGCACTTCAGATCTTAAGGCAAGGGGGACAAATACAAACTTTCTGACACATTGCTTACAAATTAATTAAGCTTGGGTGGCAGCAATTTATTTCCCCCAACAGATACTTTTCTCTTTTGAGTGAGAAATTAGGTAAATATCAACTTGATTAGATGGTCCAAATGTAACATAACCACTACACCAAGCCAGAGTTGTTTATTAAAAGCTTTTGTCCTGCGAGTTTTAATTTTTTCTCTGTACATCAAAGATTCAAGCACAAAAGGCATAAATAATAAATACATTTAGACATACTGAAAGAAGGTAAGAAAATTACTTACTACAGATTGAAAGTATTCAGGAGACAGTCCTTCCAGCTCAAGGATTTTATCTTCAAGCTTCTTAATTCTCTGATAAATATCTCTTGGTACTGGACCACCTAAATACATAGTAGTAATGCAAAGAGATAGGAAAAGTGCTTAAAAATTTATTTAACTAAAGATTGCAAGTCTGACATTTGAATTCTTCAAGATTAGCTATCAACCAGTAGCTGAACAAAACAAATGGATGGGATAATATAAAGGAAGGAGAATTAATATGATTTGGGGTAAAACCTGATTGATAAGCCAGTGTAATCAATGAAAGCAGTAAGGGAATTTCATGTAGTTGGCTGAAGTGTGTCTGTCAAGGTCCCTGAAACAACTAACGATCACTCTTTGCAATACACTGGTCATGAAATGTTGTCACTTCAAAGCTGACACCAGCATTAAGAGAGAGCAGATAGGATGGCAGACCACACATGCATTCTTGTCACAAGAACAGCGTTTGCTTGACCATCGATGGGAGAACAGGTGTAGGGAATGTGTGTATTGAGTAACAGAGGTCTGGAAAAAACCATCCAAAAAATGACCAAACAAACAAAAAAGACCCAAGCTCATCCAAGAACAACCTTAACAAAAAAACTCACAACAAAACCCACTCACACCACAAAAACAGCAGCACCAAAAAAATCCCAACTCGTTTTCATCTATACTACAGCAGCTTGGGCTTGTTTCTTCATGTAAAAATGGAACTGATCAGATCAGTCTTAGCAAGCACTTATTTGCACTCCATAGTAATCTATAATGAATTTCTATATGAAATAACTGTTTATCACAACTAAGTACTGGCTACTCCAAGTTAAATGAAAATCTGGTTCCGAACTGTACTGACAACCAAGGCCATAGCAAGCTTTTACTTTTTGACACCGTTTCCTTTTATTTCTGGGTCTGTTAAGATAAGACAGCTCTATTCCACAAATGACTAAAATAGCACTGATATGGGGCTTGGGTTTACTTTTTTTGCCATTCATCTATTTTCTCCCTTCAAAGAAACAATTGTGCAGGTAGCTTCACTCCTTCAGTTGTGCTCTCTACTCAACACTAGGCACCTACTAATTAAATTGGCTAACTATCACTCTTAATATTGCTTTCTCTTAATGTAAAGGGAAAAGAGCAGTACTAGCACTGGATGCTGTTCTGAAAAACAGCCAACAAGTCAAGATTAACTCTTCCTGTTGCTGGAAGCAAAAACTGGTGGAACAGGTAGTGAAGGCATTTTACCTGCCCAGATGAGTATTTTTTGCACAGCTGCTGGGGCACACATCAAATAATATTGAGATGTTCCCCATGACTGCTGATTTCAACAGGAATTGAGCTGGTGTTGCATGTCTCCATCTTCTTAACTTATACTATAGTTTACCTGACCCATTCTTTCAAACAAAATCTTATCACCTATTAGAGGCATAACCTGGAAGCAAGGACCCTCCTTAGCTACCTCCAATCATTGTCCCTAATATGCATAAACTCCAAAGTTACACATTGTAACCTTAATGCTGGCCAGCCTTTTTCAAATTCTATTTCTATGCACAAAAGCCAGCTTATTTTTGAGACAGCTATAGAGCTAAGCATCAAGCTCTGACTGCTGCCTCAACAGTATCAATGCATATTTTACTCTTCTTGCTACCAGACAACTTTAATCCACTACAGAGTCACAGGAATCTAGTTGTCTAGTCAATGTTCCAAATATTTTTAAGACAAGGGATTGGCATCTATTCAGTGTTCAGAAGACAAAAAAAAAAAAAAAATATCAAGTGTGTCTGCAATGTCCTGTGTAGAAAATTCACTTAACTAGATGGAGATTTGGCTTCTGTTCTGTTATGAAAATAATTTTCAAGAAAAATACTAATTCCTCCTTGGTAAGTGCCTCATTGTGCCTCAGTGCCATATTATGGAAAAGCAGGGCTGGGTTGAGGAAAGCAACTATCTGAAAAACATCAGTAGCCTGACAGCTATGGCATTAATTTAATGAAAGGTATGGACTCATGTTTGCAGGCCTAAAGAGAAGTAGTGACAACAGGCTTCCCACATTCTGAGAATTAAGCTTTATGCCTAAACGTTATTTCAAGAAACATTTTTCATCTTTAGGAAAAGGTTTCACGTAATCCTTTTTGTTGATTCTACCACCAGCCCACAAGTTATCCATGAAGCAGCCCTTAGTCCTAAACTCAGCTTTTCCTGTTAAGTGGGTCAAGGCAGGACTCCAGTGGTTATGGAGAACCTCAATCTCCAGATATTCCATATTATTTTAAATCCTGCTCTGATGTGCCTCTCTCTTATTTGCCACCACATAAAGTGTACATTTGCTAACTCAGCATCTCAAACTGGGCATAAACCTGGGTTCCATTTTGGGCATAAAACACTAAACACTAGACCACTATACTTGGGGTGAACAAAACCCTTCAGTAGATCTAGCCACTTTTTTTACAGCATCAGTTTTTATAGACTTGCCCAGTTTCACCACAGTAATCATGACTGTAGTATAAATATGATAACCAATGTCAAAATGATAACATCATACAAACCTGTCTGTAACCGTAAGTGTGCTTCAATGTTTTGCAATCTCTCCTCAACCGCTTGGTTTCCACAATCATGCACGGGTACGCTGGCTTTGTGACTGGACCCATGCATTCCTTCAGACCTAGTCTGAGGTCCATACGTATTTACTACCCTAGAAACTAGGTAAAGGCAAAATAAATTTCACATAAATGCACATGAAACACAAAGCAGATCTAACTAAAAGAATCAAAATACTGAAGCACAAAAAACTGTGTTAAATCAGTTTCACAGAAGTCTTGCAGATGAAGTAAGATGAAAAGTTCAAGTAAAAGCATTTTCTTATTTTTATTGCATAAGTAACTAAACCTAACAAAATCCCTGGATTTTACATATGCAAAGCAAAAGAATTACTCATACATTCATGTAGAATGGCAGTGTCAAGAATTTGTCATCAGCTGCTGATAAACAGCAGAAACCTTGGTATCTATGTCAGCAGTTGCACATGAGAGCTGTTGTGAATGCAAAGAGGAGGCCAGACCTAATATTACAGGAAGCATCATAAATACATGAAGATGAGGAGAGGTACACAACTGAAGAACCAATACAAACCTCAGCAAGGAAGTCACTTCTAATTTTTGTCATCTGGATAAAAGCTTTAGTGACTCTTAGCTGTAGCTACGACTATCTTTTAGCCATGTCTTCATCAGAAGATTTTGCTCACTTCTCATTAAATCAGAGTAATTTCTTAAGTTCTCCTCATAGAACTACTGCAGCATACTGCAGATTTAAAGACTACATTGGCAGCTCTAGATGCTGAAGCACACACACTCATACACCACCCTACATTCATACACCTTCGATAGTACAACATGCTACGTTCTTGCTTGAAATTATGCTGTTTTTACTTCCAATTCCTAAGTGTTTTTCACATTTCAATTATGAACTGTTCCTTGAAGTGAAAACTTCCCTTTTTTCCTGTATTATGCTGCCATCCAACAAAAAAATTAGCACTCAGTTAAAAACAGTGACTATTGACAGAGGTTCTTTGTGAAAGATTCTACAATCAAAGTCACTTTCCCATTTCCTTCTTAGCTCACCATACCTTTCAATACTTATTATTTTGCTTTACACTATTATTCTAATTTATATAACTCAAAATAATTGACTTCTAGGACCAATATCAAGTGGATAACTGAACATGACCACTCTCAAAAATGCAAAAGAGGGTTACTTTCATCCTCATTTTGGGTATTTTGTTTGTTTCTAAAGGGTAACTTGGGTACACCTAGAGAGCAGCAGATGAATGACCAATATTTTACACACAACTTCTGCTGGACATAATTTCTACATTATTTATTCCTTTCCAAAACATAGTGCAGTGATAAACTCATTCCCCAGCTTGTCACTTCTTATAAATCTGTCTTAGAACTTCCACTGTCCCAAAATTATATTCTATTTCAATACACTTGCACCAACTAATGAAAAATAGAAGATAATCCTATTTAATCTCAATTCCTTATTGATGGTTTCACCTTAGAAGAAAAACTAAGTATTGTTCAGCTTCCCTGTCCTGCTTTATCTTTTCCACATTTCCTATCAGCGATGAAAATAATGGGTAGGCACTAAAGACCAAAACAAAAGTATTTTGTTTGATCTTTAGTGCCTAAACATTCATTTAGTGAAGCAGCTAAGGGATTTAAAACCTTGAAGACATAAATAAAGATGTAAAAGTATTCACTAGAGTAAAAAAAAAAAACAAAACAATACATTAAGTTTGCATTTTTGAGCATTCTATTAAAAAGTTCTGATATCAAAAACTTATCCGTGCTGTTATATCTGGACACTTAAATGGGTATTAAAAAGTTGCTTACCTTTTATATGACTTTTAAATCCAGGATAGGGTGTGAAAATTGCATCTGTTCTGGCACAGCTATTTTCTAAATAAATAATGATATAACAAGTAAGGTCCAAATTATGTATTTATAATTGAAAATATTCTAACCAACATCAACTTTGATGCTTTAAACAAATCTAATTAAAATGCTCCAAACAATAAAAAAATCAGGAATATTTAATTCATTCTATAAACACTTGCTCATTAATAGTTTCACACACTTGCATGGATTTACTGCTTTTAATTGGATAAGTCACTCATATAAATGTATTCACACGTGTAAATAGAAGTTTACTGGATCAGGACCAAATTTATTTGGTTCTTTTCACTGCATTTCTCTGTAACTTCTTTCCTTCTTCCTGTATAGAAGCCTTTTTTCCAGACCAATAACCACTGTTATTCTGGTTTATGTCCTTTTCTGAAACTCTCCCATTTTTTGACTGATCTACTCATCAGCCTTCTTTCCTAAACATTTCTGCATTTATTCTGATCCATGTGACTTCTTTCATTTTCCTAACCATAAAACCTATAGTATGGACCAGCTTAATTTATTCTAATGCTTCTATTTCCATAGAAATCTCTGTTCATTTCACCAAAGCTCTACACATATTTTATTACGCCTGAACAACGAGACCAGTCCTTATTATCAATTCTTCTGTACATAATTAACAATTTTGGGAAACAATATTTCACTATCTAGCATATTCTATTAAACTTCAGCTGTCCTTTGCATTCTGACTAACATTCAAGCAGTTAAACTCTCTACAAAGCTTACTGAACAATAAGCTTTGATCTCTAAGAGCTTAAGTTCCTCAGAGACAATGCACATGTAGGTTCACAGGTACTTAGAAAATATCTCTGTACTACTTATGTAGTTATGTATGTAAAACTGTCTTAACTTCCAAGATGCATTTGGCTACAGTTACTGATCCTGCAAATGGGATCCAGTCTGCCAGATGGATTTCAGATTGGTTACAGATACAGCCAATTGCACTACATTGTGAGTAATGTTAAAAAGAACAAGTTATTTTGAGTAGCTAGTAATTCAAATTCGTTGTAAAAAACACTTCTTTGTAATTTAACTAGCACTAAACTAACTTCAATTTGAATATGCAAATCACAAGACATTTCTGAATTGCAATCCATTTACATTGGAGAACATCTAGTTAAAACGCTGGGAACAATAGCTAAAAATCATCTGATCTAAGATAGCAGTTCTTAAAATTAACATAATAATAAATATAAACTTTTATGGGATGCATTAAACATTGTCATCCAGTGACTACTCAATTTATTTTTCTATCTGACATATGCACTGCACATGCAAGTTCTAAATTTTAAAACAAAGTTACTCTTGAAAAAAAGTTCTGTTTTAAATATAGATTAGTGCTTCTGAAAAACAAAAAAACCCCAAACCAACCAACCAACGAAAAAAAAAAAAACAAAAACAAAACCCAAAAACAAACCAACAAAACCCCCCCACAACTTAAATTACTATGAAGATTAAAGTCTGGCTAGCCAGTTACCTTGATTACAATCAATAACATTGCAAAATTCCCTGACATTATTTTCATTGATCTCGGCTTGTTTCCTCTCGATGAAGGCTGATATCCGCCTGTCAATCTGCAGGGAATAAACATGATGGCATGTATCTATTTCATTCTTTAAAATTTAGAAAGGTCTTTCATTTTTCCATTTTTAAACTCACATGAATCACTTACTTCTGCTTTTCCAGCTTTTATTTGGACCACTTCTGGATCAAAATTAAAATGAGCATCCTTTACATCTCTCAAGTCATAACTTCCATAGTTTTCTTCAGCCTGACTGTTACCATCATAAACATCTAAACTTGTCTGGCTTTCTGTTTTACCTCCAGGTTCCACATGGCCTATATTTTCCTCTTTGATCAATGACTGGAGTTTTTCTAAGAGAGGCTGAACAAAGAAAACAGTGTATTAGTGTTAAAAAAAAAAAAAAGTCCAAAAGTCCCAAAGCCAAGAGACAAGTACTATTACAATTTCCAGACTAATGGAAATAATTTTGGGAATTACAACATCTTCCTCTGATGGAACACAGTAATAAGATTAAAAAGAATTTCTAAATATTGTGCACACCACAATTCTGACCTTTTTGACCTGTCTTTTAGAGGTTTGTAGAGGAAAACTTCCAAATTTCTATGAAAATCTGCCCATACTCCTGTGTTACTAGCTAAATCAAAGCTTCAATTGCTGGCATCAATGCCACTTAATTAACATGTCATTCAAATGCTTACTCAGAACAGTAAGGCTTAGTATTTTTCCTCCTTAACATGAAATGCGGTGCTCTTACACTGTAAAGCCTTTATCACATCAGCACTACATTCTCCACTTGAAACCGTAGTTGCCCAAGTGAATGAGAGAACACAGACATGAAATACATAGGCATTATCATGAACACATGCTTTGCTTGACACAGTTGATTATCTACTTAGCTCATGAAATTAAATGAGAAAAGGCACTGACTTTTATGGCAGAAAAAAAGCTTATTTTACTGCAGGAACTCTTACGTACAATGTAACATCAAAACCTCAGTACATATATGTCCCTGTCTCTTTTTCATTTCCATCAGTTTCGTCTAGTCTGAATTTCACTGCTTATTTCCTCTCTAGAAATTATTTTAATCTTTTAAAAGACAACATGATTTTTAGCAGTCACATTTTCTGAAATGGAATCAAATTCCCACTTGCAGCATTCTTACATGTTGGATGTAAATTTTATTCGCATTTATCTTGCATATTGTCTTTTTCTGCTCATCACACCAAAGATCTGGTGGATGTCTGGAAAACAAAGGGTCTTTCTTTTACCAACAGACAAGAAAATACAGAAATTTCCCTTTTCATCCTCTCAGTACTAGGCACCTCAAATAATTAATTGACTAGCTGAAGCAAAATAGTAGTACCCAAATCCCATCTTTTACATATGAACTATCAAGGTCAAAACACTGCTCAGTTACCAGCTGACAAACTGCTAACCCTCCCTGCCATGCACCTAAATTACTTTTGGCAGGGTTGGAAAGTTTCAAATAGTTAAAAGAAATGACAGTAATGGTGACTGGCTACTTGGCAAGATGAGACATTAATGTCAAAGAAATTACTCTTTAAAAAAAAAAAAACTACGTTGAAAATATATTTAATTGCAGTAAGACACTCCAGGATGTGTCATGCTGGGATAATGCCACTTCTTGAACCACTGAAAGCACTCTATGAGCCTCAAAACTCACCCAACGCATGGAATCATTATCATAGCATGACACACACCTGCCGTGTCTTATTGCTTAATTATAACCCACCATAGATGGAAATGTGTCACATTTACAATGCAAGCCTAGAAATCAATGAGGCTGCATTTATTCAGCCTGCTCACCTCCAGTGGCTATTCCCACCACCAATCTGAAAAATCCATAAATGTGAGTACCTATGGAGCATAGTGGAATCCCAAGCATTTAACACTTTTTCAATCCTTTTTTATTGAACACAGTAATATAAGAACAAAATTATTGGAATTTCACAGTTGAGATTACTTTTAGTTGTTGATCACTTTTATCAAGGCAGGACAAAAAATGTGTCCCATGAAATATTTACCTGTAAACATAAAATATGCTGCTGAAGTGCACTAAAGAGCAAGGCTGGCTGAAGTGCTGATGTGCTCTGAAGCTTGCTCCAATCGATTACAACTTTCACAATATCCTCTCCGAGATTAAGCTTCAACAGGGCAAAACAATAAAAAATTTTATTACATGTATTAGCATCAAAAAGTACACAAGACTTCTACAAGACAACAATCATGCTCAGTCTCATATAGACCCATCCTAATTTTACATGAGAACATTGGAAAGATTTGATATTAATTATAGTCCAAGTAGCTGTCACTTTCCAAGTAACCTAGTATTTGTAGTGTATATTCTAAAATATATATAATATATATTAAAAGTTATTTACTAACTTATCATGCTTTCATTGTATTAATTCAGTCCTTGGCTTTATTTAATTAATGTCTATGTAGGAAAGCATATTGTTCATGTTAATCACTCACACTATCTTTTCTTTTAATGGACACTAGAACCACCAGCATGAAGAAACATGACCCAGGATAGCAGTCTCCTGTAAGTTCATGTGTTTTATTCCAAGATTGCAAGACTATCCATGCCTGCATGACCCTGTCTTGATGTAACACCATGGCACATTCTTGAATTTTTACTTACTGATAATCCTAAGGAAGCTTTATAGTAAAAATAAGTGCATAGAAATATATATTTTTTAATATTTCAAAGTTTAACGAACTCTAGATTACACAGCACCAATATTAAACCTATTTTCAAATCATACTATTTTCCTTTATATGCATTGAAATGAACAATTGCCACAGTCTATTCTCACTGCCAAGGAATTGCAATATTTAACTCCCAAGACAATAAAGAAAAACACACATAATAAATCTGAAGTATTGTTTAAAAGAACTGTATGTCTTCTATAAGCTATAAATACACTTCCTAATACAAAGATGACTGTCAATAAACTCTAATGGGATAACACACTTTCACACCCCACTTTGCCCTTTTTGTTACACTAAAGCTTTTCTCAAGATCTTCTAGAGATGATCACTTTCATTTCCCAAAGCTAAGAAGGTTGTTCTCCAACCAAACATCCTGCAAGCGAGACCCCAAATTCTAAACACAGAAAAAATTCTTGTTTGAAATCGAGATGACCTACAGGTACTCTGCTTGCAACACTGAATTCCCAATTCATATGCCTACTTGTATATCTACTCCTCACTCCTTCCATTACAATAAAGAGTGGTGGTGGAAACTGAAAAAGGTACCCCAGGAAGATGACAGAAGTGACCTTTAACTCATGGTCTAAAGACATGTAACTTCTAACAGCACCAAACATTATAAACAAGAACACAAAATGCATATGCACTCATGTCCTAAAGCCACCACGAAGTGTACAAAACACTGAGAACTGGACACAAGAAATGCCTCCATCACTCTGAGGGCAAAGCTGTCCCACCTTAGTTTCAAATCTCAGCATTAACACAATTTTGTAAAGGATTATAAACCTGAATCCTCCTTCTTTAGTGAAAGATCAGCCTTGCTAAATTCAGGGTTAGCTCCCAAATTACATAGCAAAGGAGAGAGTCTGACTGGATATATAATGTATTTTAGATAATCTTCACAAATGGTTATCCCTGTTTAGTACTTAAGCACACAGGATGTAGGAAAAGTAATGTTCTAGGATATACTAATCTTGAAGAAGTTTCAAAATGAGGAATGTATTTAGAACTTAGTAGGAATAAAATTTACTATAGGAATTAAGCCTGTGCATGTGATCATCTGAAGCACATATTTCTGCCCAAGGTATCTGAAGTAACATCTCCTATATGCTGTATTACAGTCTAGTGACAAGGTAAAAAAGGTGCAGATTAAGTCATCCAAATGAAACAAAATAGAAGTGTTACTACAATTTCCTAATAAGCCTCCTTTTTCAAAAAGAATAAGCTGATATGTACCTTCGTATCATAATGGACAACTCCTGTCCAGGTGGTTCAAGGCACAAAAAGCAACAGAACTTCTAACTTAAAATCATTTAGAAGCCAGTCATATTTTTAACTCAAAGACACTGCTTTTAAATAAAAGTCAAGAATAAACCCCTCCTGCATGAACAGAAGTTTCTAGTACAATAGAGTAAGTTCTCAGTCTTTTACATCCTAGTACTTATTAGAACTGTGACAAAAAGATTTATAAATTCATTGTTTTGATAACTTCAAAGCCTTTGACTAATTACAAGTCCACAGCCTATTCAATTGACAGGATCATATGTAATTTCAGCCCTTTGAAATTTGTTTTATGTAAACACTGGCTATCACTTGACTCTTAAAGAACTTTTCAGGATCAGCTATATTGGTTTTAAGAGCTGAGTTATTCTCAGATGTCCTCCCGGTCACGTACTGCCACTGATTGCTCCAGTAAAAAAATTCCTGTGCCAGAAATATTCCTGCTTACAGCCCAATTTACCAGCATAAAACCAACTTAAACTACTATAATGAATCAAACTGTGACTGCTAACAATTTGGCACATGCTCAGTCATCGCTATAGAAGGGAAATGGGGGATCAGTAGTTTCAGTCAAAAATGCAAGACCGTTTGCTAGAATCCATGAGGGTAAAACACAGCAGCTAAATCTGTCAGAACTCAAGCAGAGGCTGACAAGTGTGTAACTCAGCAACTAGAAAGGATCAGGACAGAGCAACTAAAAGGACTTTCACAGCTAAGACAGAGCAACCAGATCCTTATCCAACCAGTGCACTGGACACTGAAATGTGTCTGTTGTCATGGAAAGAACACTCCAGACACCAAAGAAGACAATTATACTCTGCAGCACAGCTACTGCAACTCTACTGAGGGGATGTAGCAACTCTAAAGAGTTCTCTCACAATGGTCTGTGCACACCCAGTTATTTTTAATAATCACAGGGCCTTTCCAGTGACATGCTAGCTGTAGAGCCAGCTTCAGAGAAAAAAATAAGCTGCTTAAGTCAAGAGGGAAAAGTAACAGTTCTGAATGTAGTTTAGAAACAATTAAAAACTTGTGATGAATATCCTAGTTAAAAGCTTAGGAAACTTTCCCCTTAGTCTCCTTTCTGTTTTTCATAAGTACAAGAGTTCCAACTTTTCTCTGATGTGTTCTACTACTGTCATTCACAGTGCTGTCCTCACACTCAGACAAACTCACAGTCACCAGCTCTTCATTGATCACACTCATTTCACCAGGAAGAATTAAGGAGCCTTTAAACCTCAACAGAGAGTTTTCATGCCTCAGTAATCCTGTGAGCCTGCTGTGTTGGGACATCACTGTTTAGTGCTGTACTCCTGTTCAAAACCACAGCACTTTGTACCTATTTTAGAGACAGGAAAACTGCGACTCTTAACTAAGTGCCTGAATTATCAAGCCCTTAATTTTGGTTGCATTTATTTGAAAAAAGAGACAATTACTAGCATACTTGGAGGAGAGAAGCAAATAGACTAGAATTCTATACAGATGAGAGGTGAAACACTCTAAAAAATCATTTCAGATCAGCCAGCAGCTACTCCTAAAGTGGCTCTGCATCTCAGATCCCATTTCTGTACCAGACATGCATTAAGTGACACTAGCTCCTGCAGATACTGCTCATCATCTGGCCCCAAACCTTCAAACTGCTAACTCCTGAACTAAGAGCGTGCTTCTACTGCCTTCACAGAACTACATAAATGTTTCCACAGTGGAAAATTAACCTGTATATTGTTTATAGCAATAAATAAGTTTATTACTAAAACCTTCTCCTGCTAAGGGCCTTCCACCACTGCTGTGACATCTGTTACACAACTCACAGACATTACTAAACATAAAGTATGTGTTTCAACTTAAATACCACAGAGCAGAGCACCTTTAAAAATTCTGATCCTTAGATACACTGCGTGTTTCATAGCAAGCCATTACCAAGGCAGGGCTAACTTCAAGCTCCTGATCATTTATTTTGATCTAATGCACTGTAAGCGTTCAGCAGCTTCTCAATTCAGAGTGATTAATTAAGATACAGCAATTAAGCAAATTGCACTTTCCCACGGAAGAGATCATCCATCAAACTAGAAAGTGGCACCCGCCGTCCCGTCTGCGAGGCCAAGGCACGGTCCCGGCCGTGGGAGGGAAGCAGCAGCAGCAGCAGCCACGCACCCTGGGGCTGCCCCGGCCGGAGGGAGCGGGGCAGGCAGCCGGCACCGCCGCCCGGGCGAGCCAGGTGAGCCCGAAAAACCCCCAGAAGAGAGGCAGCCCCCTTGTGTGTGGCAGACTTACGTCCTCTCCAGCGCCCTACCCTATTCCTGGAGCCACAGGAGCCCCGCAGGCCGGGAGAAGCAGGAGCCAGCCCGGCGCGGGCCCCCCATGCGACGGGCTGTGATGAGAGGCGGGCGCGGCGCCCAGCCCAGCTCCGCCCAGGACCTCTCCCTCCGCCCGCCCCTCACTCACCTGCCCCGCCAGCCCGGCCAGACAGCGCAGGGCGCTGCTCGCTACCTCGGAGGCCGCAGGGTCGACCTCCGGAACGCGGACGCCGGGCGGGAGCGGGCTGGGCGCCGCCACCGCCGCCGCCATGACACCGGGCCGGGCCGCGGCCGCGCCGTCGCCTCGCGATGACGAACGCCTGGCGATGGCTCCGCCCCCGCGCTGATGGACAGGCGCGGCAGCCAATGGCGGGGCTCCGCAGCGCCGGCCCGGGCCGAGGGGGCGCGCGCTCCCGCGCTCTCCGTGGCCCGGCTCCGGGCGCTGGCTGCGCGGGGCACGGCGGGCACGGCTGCACCGGGAGCTCCTTCGCGGGGGGAAGCACCGCCGGTGGTTGTTCCAGTACCTCGCGTTGCCGCCCTTCTTTCAGCCGTGCCTTTGGTTACCCCTTCGCTGTTTTGCATTCATACGTGTTGCTCAAAGCCTTGACTCTTCTGGTTGCAGCGGGGTTGTTTTCAAATCAGACTACAAAGTTTGTCAGGCTACTCTTGATTATGGGGATCGCAAAATTCTATTCCCTGTAAGACAGTTTACTTGTAAATTTCTTTCCTAATAAATTTAGTAGAAATTCCTAAGAAATGTAAATAGAAATGCTTACAAAGGTTTCCTACTTGATGTTTCTTTTGATAGCCTAATTTTGATCTTTGCACTTCTTTCTCTTCCCTGACCCCACTATTCTTTATTCCATTGAAAAATGGTGAGTGCCGTTATATATACAAATGTTGAAACATTCTTAAATAAAAACGTTTAGAAAGGCAGATGAATTTATTTGACTGATGTTTTGGGGGTTCTTTTCCAGGTAAGACGTACCTTGATATGGTGAAAATAAATGGTACTGCACAAGGCTTTCAGCACCAGCAACCCACAACATTTGAGGACACTCAAGAAGAGAAAGCTCTGCTCAGTTCCAGAGACAAATTAGTTCCAAAGAGGACTTCAGTGTTTAATGGTTTCAAATATATTGCATAGATGTCTACTTTTTGCAAAAATATCTTTTCTAGGGTGAATTAGATGGCATTTGCTTGGATTCAGTTGATGAGGACCATTCTTTGGATTCTGAAATACTTATGGCAATATGTGTTTGTGGTTTAGAAGCTCTGAAACACATAGAAGTTTAGTTAATTCCTGAAAACACACAGCTTTTATCAAACAGCATTTTGAACACATGCACAGAGGATGGTAGTCAGTTAAGAAAATTTGTGAAATTTTGTTTTGCATTTCTGCAACACTACTAATTCCAGCTTGTGATCAAGGGCTGCTTCAACCAACCTTGCCTCTTGCAGTTTTGTCTCTGGGCAGGCAGCTGGAGCAACCCTGCCAAATGTAATAATGTCATTTGGATCAAATCATGAAGCTTTCAAGAATAAAGGAAAGTACATTGCCCTTTCCCCTTCCCCACCAGCACTACAACACTGAATTAACACATGAGTGATCTGCTGGCCAGAGCAGAATATGGAGCACAGATGTAACAACCTGGCATTGCTTGCTGCTTCTCAGAGACAGTTTGTCCTGAATGAATTCCTGATAAGACAGAACAAGTCCAGGCATTTGCACCAATTTTTAACTTCAAGTGATGAGCTCACCTACCTGATAGATTCCAGCTTTCCTGGAGGGATGGAGCAGATGTGTCCTGCTTTAGCAATGTACGTGTAGCTTTCCTAACCGGGAGGCCTAAGATCTCTCCTTTGCTTTTGAGCACGTTATCTTTACCTGTAGCCAGAGGTTGTTTTGAGGTAAAAAAACATTTCAAATGAAAAATAAATATGTAAGCATATAAATATCAGAGAGATACATGGAAATATAAGGGAGATTTAATGAATGTGGAGGATTTCAAGAGACAGTGGGGGTGATACACTAGTATTTAGTCAGTGCTCATTGCAAGAAGAGTAGGCAAAAGACCATGAAGTAGTCAGTAAAGTTGTTCATGCCTACCTTTTATTTATGAAGGAGAAACTGGATCTTGGCCTTCTTCCTGTTGTTTGCAAATGTCTCCTCTTAGAGAAACAGTAATGATTCCTATGGGGAAAGACTTTCTTCCTACTTGCTCTGTCTCCGAAGACCTTGATCTGGGTTGCAGCTGCTAGTTGAATAAATTTGGTATCATCTGAAGTTTCACAGATTAAATTGTACAATGCATTAAGCAAACATGAACAGAACAGAAATAATCCAAGGTGATTTAAGAGATTAGGAAAATGAGAGCCTGTGAGAAAATGAACAGAGGGGGAGAAGTGTGCAAATACAGCTAAGGCAAAGATGTTAAACCTTCATATCTAGTGGAAGAGACAGACCAGAGCAGAATGGTTCCAGAAGATGATTATATGCTCACTGGATGTAGTGCACAGTAAAAATGAAATCACTTGTAATTGCCTCTGGAAGTAAAGCTAGCCACAGTAAATCCAGGCCTCCATAAAGACAGAGTAAATTACATGGCATGCTCACTAAAGCTGGTGAAGCAATAAAATATTGGAAGCTCTCATTGCTGGAAAAATACTGGTAATTTGGAATAAATTTATAGAAAACTGGCAAGAAATGGATTGCCAGAGATAGAGATACTTCTTTAGAAAGAGGAATCAGAAGATTTAAATATGTCTAACTTGGCAGTAATGTCCAGATATTTTAATAATATGACAAACAAGGGAGGGAACAATCTGGGGTTGCTTTCAACACTCAGGGATAGAGTTGTCATGAAAATATTAAATCATCTGCAGCTTTGATCCTGGAATGGATCATTGAGGCGTATTAAAGCCTCTCCCACCTTGAAAAAACACCTTGAAAAATATAAGTGCAAGTCCACTAAGTTCTTAAATGTTAAGTATTGTGGTTGGAGTAAAATTATTTTGAAATAGAAAACTATTTTCTTTTCATTTTTGGACCATTGCTTCTTTTTATTTTATTTGTAAAATGATGAACATATTCACCTCTTTCCAAGTCTAGGTGCCTTTAAGCAATTTATTATCACAGTAAACCTGAGTAAATTGACACAAGTTCTCTTTGCTGGTCACCACTGCCATAATTGCTAGCACTGTTTCTTCTGCTGAATATTACAGTACCATAACTTCTGAACTCACACTTTAATTTTGTCTCCAACTAATACCCAGAGAAAGGTGGGTGCTTGGCAGAATGTACCAGCCACTGAGGTTTGTTGTGCCAAAGAGTGAAGTGCTGAGCTGAGGAGGCTGTGTAACGTATAAGCAGATTTTTCACCTGAATTGAAAAGCTCATGCTGTGTACTTCTGCTTATGTCAGCTGTAGTACAGAGAAAGGCAAAAGAGGCAATGCTTTGGGGGAAAAAAAAAAAAAAAAAGCCAAAAAAACCCCACTGAAATAATTTGGAGCTTCAAAGGTAAAAACAATACTCTGAATTCTGTCCAAAGCCCCAGGAAAATGGTTCAGTTTGACACCCTGCTGTAAATGTAGTTTTTCCTAATATTCAGATTATCAGTGCTGCACTAAATTATCTCAGTTATAAAAAGAAAATTGATAGTATTGTACTCATTAAATAGTTAAATAGGGTTAAAATAGGAAATGACCAAGTCCCTCTTAAATAAAAGCTTTTATTTATTTCTCCAAGCATTAATTTCAGAATTAAGAGCACTTCACTTCTGTTGCTTCCCAAGTACCCAGGAAAAGGCATCACTCCAATGAAGTTTATAGATCCTGGTTCAACAAGATACTTAAGCTGGTGCCTAATTTTAAGCACTAGCCCAGCTGAAAAAAAACCCCCTCAGCCTGCATCCCTAAAATGTAGTCATGTGCTTATTAACTTCCTCAAATAAGGCTCTGAATTGCAAATCTGGCTCTCCAATAGGAGCTGCATTCCTTCAAAGCAAATGTCTCTGCTGACCTTTTGGTGTTTCTTTCACTTTATCAAAGTTTAGAAAGCCCTGTTCAGACAGGATTGGAATGGGATTTGTACAAAATGTCTTGGTGGAAATGCAGCCCTGCTGTAATTGCCATTAGAGAAAAAAGGCAAACCAACAAACCTATAAGTCTCTTACATTTGTGACTTGCAGTAATTTGATCATTCCTAACATTTGTGATGCCTGCATTCTGTTTAGTGTCCTTATCCTGGCATGCACATATACCAATGACCCTTCCTTTCCGAATTTTTTTACCCTTGTGATTTTCTAATACTGCTTCATGCTCTTCCTTACTTTGGTTTTTATTTTCATTGTCTTTGTTTAGTAATTTTACAACATATTTAAATTCTATATGCCTGCCTGCCCCCTTTCTTGCTGCCATCTACAAATATGATTAGCACTCTGCACAAAATCCTTCAGCTCAGTTATATAATTTGGGATTGAGAACTGACCCCTGCAAGTCCTAGCTCAACAGCTCTTCTTAGGAAGTCAGTGAACCATTATTATAATTATTCTGTTTTTGCAAATTCTAGACTTCTATAGCTACTTTGAAAGATTTGATTATAAATCTCCTTCCTTGTGAGACTATCATATAAAAATGTAGAAGGTGCCTTGCAGAGAAGGTGTCTGTGATCACAGTGTTTCCTCTTTTTGCAAACTGTCAGTAATTTGACACAAACATTGTGAAATTAAGCATTCATAGCTGAAGACAGACTAAAAATTAATAATTTTCCATTGCATTAATATGTACATGTCGTGCGTATTATATATTTAACTCAAGTTTAACGGGACACTTGAAAATCTATATTTAACAGGGAAACAGGAATATAGCATATTTATTTCAGAGAAAATTTAACTATTGGGGTTCTTTGATTACTGAGTGCTTGATTTTAAAAGCTGTAGCTTGCATCTTTATTAGTATAATCTGACTATTATTTTAAAATAAATAATAGTGATGGATGCTTAGGAATATTTTAAATAGGATTCTTCAGTTGTGGTATGTACAAGCTTTTCACATAGCTTATCTGGGAGCCAAGTCCTTTTCTAAACATATCAATCTTCTTAGCCTTTTCTGTGGAACAGTTATGTTGCTAAAATTTAAATTTATCTCCTGCTTCAACAGTTCAGCTTATCAATTTCTATACCCCAGTAGCTAGACAGTCATTATTGGTCTGATTGATCATTCCATGTTCTGGCAGCCCCCTGGCAGACTTCAAAAGCCAGATCCAGATCTAGTTTAGAGATGAGATTTGTGGACTAATAGTTGAAATTAG